TATATATATATAACCATGTAAAGTGAAGCTTACATTTTCAGAAGTGTCTTCCTTTCATTTCTCCTCTGATTTCTCATCCTATTATATTTCATACATGTCTAGCCTTAAATATTGATCTTGATACTAATATGCAGACAGCGGCTTTCGAGAGCATCAGATACATCCATCTGATGTCCACTGGAGGGGCCATTACTGAGCTGATGGACACTTAGAAGAAAACTGAGAATAAGACAGCAGACACTGCTGCTAATACACTGTCAGTGTTTGTTCTGTTTAGCTAGTTTAACACTGTGTGTCAATGAAAATCTGAATAAAGTACAATTGTAAAGTTACCAGGAAAGAAAAACACTGAGATTAGAGTTAATCCACTTTAAAATGGGGTTTGGGGGATGTAAGTGGAAAGGTTGTGAAAATTCAGGAGAATTCCTGAAAGAACAGGAATATTCAAGAACTGTCCTTTTTTTGTAGAAGATCTAACGATTTATTATATAATCAGGTATTTATTGTAACCCCACAACAAAATGTTGAGCAAAAACATAACAAAGACAGACGGAGAAATTTGGAGAAAAAGCTCCATCTAGAGGATATTTGTAGAAACTGCTAGTAATTTCTGGAATAGTCTCAGCTCCTGGTCTTAGAATATAAAAGTGAGACAGTCCCACTGCTGAGACACAAAGCAACACAGATATTTTTCACAAGAAGAAGACTAAACCCAAAGAAGATGCTGATGTCTCATGCACTCAGATCTGCTCTGAGGCCTATCATGGACCTCTCCTGGCCTGTTAGCAGGCTGTGGCCTGAAGTCAGACCTCTCTTCAAACAGCAGGACATCCTGCAGAGAACCTTCCAGGAGCTGCGCAGCAGTCTGGAGCTGATGGACAAACTCCAACAGCAGATGCTGGAGGACTCAGGAGCTTTCAGGAGAGGTGTGGCCCTGCAGCCAKTCTCCTACCAGMTGARCAAAGSGRGAGATCACTTCGGTCTGACCCTGGACACTCAAGGCTTTTCTCCAGAGGAGCTGTCAGTCAAGCAGGTGGGCAACAAGCTGAGAGTCAGTGGGAAGTCTGAGAAGAAGCAGGAGGACGAGAAAGGCTCCTACTCTTACAGCCTGCAGGAGTTCAGACAGGAGTTTGATCTGCCTGAAGGGGTGAACCATGAAGCCGTCAGCTGCTACCTTTCTCCTGATGGAAAGCTCCACATCCAGGCA